AAAGGGCTTTTCTGGATTTACCTTCATCGGGAAGACTCATACCCAAAATATTGAAACCCAAGGATGTATACCTTCCTAAACTTATGAAGAGTTATATGATCAAAAGGGGCCTAAAAGAATAACAAACTCAATCAAGGTCATGTTAGCCTGATGGAGTTGGAACCTTAGTACTTTTATCAATTTATCAACTGGGAATTCAATTTGCAAAAGTATGTTATAAATAATGTCAGTACACTTGGCTGATGAAACCTGACCCATTCTACTATTGTTGATATCAATTTAAAATTTTGTTTGTTACTTAATTTTGCTTCATCAATAAATTACTTATAATTCAAATTATGCTATCTCAATATATCTGGATTAAATTTGATTGGTCAGCTGGAAAAAACACAATGTGATATTGCTACAACTTATATATACAAGAACATCTACTACCAAATGAAACCAGAAGAAACCAATTTAGGAAAGTACAATAATTTTGATTTACAGCTACCATAGGTCACTGTCTGTACAGTTTGACATGGAATACAAATTTCAGTTTACTTGATTATTAAAGATACTAACCAAAAATTTAAAGTCCAATATTAAGCATATATGTTGCATAAATGGGTAAATATAGTAATGACATTAGGAAGAAAATGTGTGAATTTATTATATTTCCATAAATGATCATAAATAATCCTTGATATGATGATATTCGAAATCCAAGCCATATATAGTAAAGAAAAATCATGTGCTAAGTTGTTTTTTTTAAATGCTAAAATGAGAGTAGAAATGATACACTTAACTATTTAACTGTGTTAACAGGATCTAAGCCAAACAAAGAAATAATGTACTAATTAGGATAGCTGTGTCAAGGATCTAAACTGAGTGGACACAGTGAGGTGTCTGGTCTGCAGTACTGATTTTGAATGTAATATATGTTGAAAGTCTTTTAAACCAAGGTCTTATTAAGATTTATAAGCTTAAAACTGATCAATACTCCACATAAATGAGGTCAAGGTCACATGAATGATAGTGTTGGATACATTAAACCCTGTCATAGAGACTTGTGTACTTTACAATATTTCAAAACAACAAAGTGTATAGTAACTAAGAATCTTATGTAATCATGAAAAATTAAACAGTTATAAATGAACCATGGAACTAGGTGAAGGTCAAGTGCCCCTGTCAGACAGAATAAAAATAAGGAGATGTGGTATGCTTGCAAATGAGACAACTATCCACCAGAGTTCATATGACGAAGATATCTAATACTTATTATAGAAGCAATTATAGGTCATCATTTAAATAAGGTCAAGGCTAATGAACCTATCAGATGGACATGTACATCTTTCAATAATCCTACATACCAATTATATTTGACCTATTATTTATAGTAACTGAGAAACAGACCTAATCTAGAAAACTCAACTCTGATCAATTAACCATGAAATTTAGGCAAAGGTCAGATGAACCATATCAGTAGGACATGTACATCTTACAATACTTTTACATATCAAGGATAGTTGACAGTATACTTATACTGTTTGCCAAAACAACCTTATTATGAAAACTACATTGACCAATGAGTCAAACTCAGAGGTACTTTCAGAGGGATGTGCATTCTTTATGCCAAAAATTTATAGTAATGCCAAGTGATGACAATGCCTCACTTGGCCCTGTGTGCCATGTACAGGGCCATGTGAGCTAACAACACTTACTTTATACTAGATACTCTATGGAACATTCTGATTAAGTGTGATTGAAATTGGTCCAAAGGTTTCAGAGAAAAAGATTTTTGGAAAAGCTTACGCCAGATGGAGGTGATAATGGACACATAATGATGACAATAAATCACATGGCTCATAGAGGGTTTAAAAGAAAGGTAATTTCAAAATATTTAATTAAAATGGCTATAAAAGATCATATTGTACATGTGATGTTTGATTTTCTGAGAACATGCCACAATGCAATATCTTCAAGATCTATATGTGAGTAAGTGTTGATTAATTGCTTTAGGGCACACAGGATTCCTAGAAACTTGTCAGTAACATCTAAAACCTATTACATAATAGGCAAATAATGAAAACCTTCTTCACTTCAAACATAAAATTCAATCAGGAATATGCTATTCCATTATGCAGATTAATAAAATGATCTCATAAATTTCTTTAATGGTAGAAAGCATGACACCCTAAGTAATTTCTCAACAGGAAATGACAAATAAGTGAGCTAAAAATTTTAATACAATATGCTGCATTGACAACTCACAGGGAACACGTTAAGGTCAGAATGACCGACTTTTTGTAGGACAAATGAAAGCTTGTTAGACAATACTTGTAAGACAATTAATGTAAGCCAATACTATACAGTCTAAATTAACCATGATAAGACATATTGACCCAAGGATTTGTATTTGTATTTAGCCCTTCCAGACATTACTTCTGCCAAGTTCAGGTCATCCAGGGCTGCATGATCAGTTTCAGAAAAGAAGAAAAAAGCGATTTTCCTTAAGAGTCCAATAAAAACAGACCATGGCCAAAAAAAGAAAAAGAAAAGACAAAAACAATAAAAGAATAGAGTTCCAATGTCCCCCACATTGTAAGAGCTCTAAGGAGGCCATTTTCCATAAACTTAATATTTCCAAGGGGCATAACTCATTTAAAAAAAGTCAATCGTCTAACATTATAGAACTTGTCCGAGATATTGCTGATATTAACCCATAGTATAAGTTTTATAAAAATCTGGCAAGAATTGTACCCGTGAGAGCGCTAACGAGGCCATTTTCCATAAATTTAATATTTCCAAGGTGCATAACTCTTTTTAAAAAAGTAGATCGTCCACCATTTTAGAACTTGTAAGAGATATTGCTGATATTAACCTATAGTATAAGATTTATAAAATTTTGACAAGAATTGTACCTCTGAGAGCGCTAACAAGGCCATTTTCCATAAATTTAATATTTCCAAGGGGCATAACTCTTTTAAAAAAAGTAGACTGGCCATCATTGTATAACTTTCCAAGATATTACTGATATTGACCTAAAGTATAAGTATTATTAAAATCTGGCAAGCATTGTACCCGTGAGAGCGCTAACAAGGCCATTTTCCATGAATTTAATATTTCCAAGGGGCATAACTCTTTTAAAAAAAGTAGATCGGCCACCATTATATAACTTGTCTGAGATATTGCTGATATTAACCTATAGTGTAAGTTTTATAAAAATCTGGCAAGAATTGTACTTGATAGAGCGCTAACGAGGCCATTTTCCATAAATTTAATATTTTCAAGGGCATCATCATAACTCCTTTAAAAAAGTTGATCATCCACCATTTTAGAACTTGTCGGAGATATTGCTGATATTAACCAAAAAGTATAAGTTTTATAAAAATCTGGCAAGAATTGTCCCCGTGAGAGCACTAACAAGACCTGACGGACGGACACACGGATGGAAGGACACATGGACAAACCCAGTATTTCCATGTCCCCCGCAACACGTTACGCAGGGGACAAAAACAAAACAAAACACTAGAAAACCAAAGATTGAATAAGATGAAACCAGTAAAAAATTGTAGGTAAACTCAGGTGCTATCACCACAATATTTTTTTTGTGAAATGAAAGGTCTACCAATCACAAGCCTTTAAAGCTTGAACAAGTATTTTCTATGTGTTGACAGATCCTGTAACAACCTGGATAATGGTGAAAATTTAACAGATAATAGATATATGTCATGTCAGAGCATTGTTTTTATTTTGCCTCTAACTGATCCTAGTTAGTCCCTATATAAACATGTAAATGACCGTATGTAAAATTTTGACAATTTTTTAAGTAAATGAAGAAACAATTATGCTATTACCATTATTATATCAATTTCCAATTAAAAAACAAGTAAAAAAGTAAATGGTGATTACAATGCTTAAAACTGGATTACAAGCATGTCAACTACAAAAAGATCACTACAATCTGTGTCAAATCAAAGGGCTAAAAATGTTGTGTTGTAACTCATGCACTATGTTATCCATGTGGTGAAAATAATACATCAGAAAAAAAAAACACCAAAGGGTTAAAAAAACATTGGGAATCAAAATTGAAAAATAAACAACTAGCCTAAACTGTTTTAGGTTGTTTTTTTGGGGTTTTTGTTTAATTTTTTTTATAATTCAAACCGTAAAAATTCATTTCGTTGAATTTTTTACTTGATATGCACAGTATTGGGAATTGGTTGGAAATTATTATAGATTAATGGGAATAGTCAGACAGCATGCTCCAATTTCAATTTTGGTTACAACTGAAAATGGGAACAACAATAATTATGCACCAAATTTTTATAAAAAAACACCAGAAATAAAGATTTTTCTCTATCTTAAGCTTACTATCATGCTAACACGTCTTGAATTACTATAACTTACCAGTTGCTAATTATTATTCTTGATCACAAATGACATTGCAGCAAATAAGAAACATAAAAAAAATAACAATTTCATTACATAATGAAAAACAATAATGTGGTGCGGAAGTATAAAAAATTCAGTAAAAAGTAAGGTTAAATTTTGTTACTTTGATGCATTTCATAATCATTCACCAACAAATCAATCCTATAAATAGTTATTAAAAGGAGGTATGGGGACCAGTCAATGAGTCAGCATCTCCAGTGTAATAGAAAAAATAATTGTCACATCTCTATAATCATGATACTGTAATTAAAATCAGTTTTAAATATTAATTTAAACAATATATCTAACAATACTTATTTCTGTAATTTCAATTTGTTAAAGCTTACTATTTCCTCCCATTTTCTCTCATCTAATAAAACATTATGTACATTTTAACCTGAATAAGGTGGATTTGATAATCCTTAACTCTATACATTGGATATTTGAAAGATCACATATCTAATCCTTAACTCTATCCATTGAATATATCTTTACAAAGAAGACCCTGCATAAAGTTCATTAGTTTTGCCTTATATAATGATCATACATTTTATCACTAATTCAATTATTATATACGAACTTACCGCCTGTTGCAGCTGCATTGTTTGAATAAATTAAATTTTCATAATTATATTAAATTTTAAAATTTAGAGCTCGAACACAATCAATTTATGGTGAAAATTTTAAGAAAATAAAATATATATGTGTATACATGATAAATATTAAGTTTATACACCCAATCTATTCAAGTTTCTTCCTGATACCTTATTTAACAGTAACACAAAAAGTATGGACATACTAATTTTTTTCATCCGCATTTTCCCTATATCACTATTGCCAGTCTTAAATCCAACATGTACACTGTTTAATCAATTATGACACAAGATATTTGATATGTCACATATGGCAATTGAAAAATAGAAATTGTTATAAAACCTGGATTTCAATTAGTGACCTATTTGCTCTCTTTGTTGATCTATCTAAAAAATATTATAAATAAAACTTTATAGTTTTGGTATGAACAATGAATGAAGTGGTTTTCTGGATTGTCCTTTATCTGGAATGCTCAACCCCAATGATGGAGTTGGTATATATTTACTAAACAAGAATGTGTCCATAGTACACGGATGCTCCACTTGCACTATCATTTTCTATGTTCAGTGGACCGTGAAATTCGGGTCAAAACTCTAATCTGGCATTAAAATTAGAAAGATCATATCATAGGATACAAGTGTACTAAGTTTTAAGTTGATTGGACTTCAACTTCATCAAAAACTACCTTGACCAAAAACTTTAACCTAAAGCGGGACAGACAGACGGATGGATGGACGAATGAACGAATGGAGGCACTGACTGAAAAAAATAGACCTTTTCCAACAAAAGTTTACACATTGAAAAAAGTATGTTGAAAATCTGAGGTCAACAAGCAATTAGTCAGGTAAAAAGAACACATTTACATAATGACAAATATTTACTATGAGTCACTGAACAATGTAAATCAAAATAATGTCAAGTCAGGTTGTGTCTGTAAGACAGCCATTTGAATATCTGAAAATATAAACTCAGGTTTCTCAAAGTATAATTTAGTCACAGCTCCAGGGTTCCAAAGGATTTACTTAGGCTGTGAAAATGATTACATGTATGAAAAGGTTAATCATGATTAAAGTATGAAATGTTTAATCATGATTACATGTATGAAAAGTTTAATCATGATTAGAGTATGAAATGTTTAATTATGATTACATGTATGAAAAGGTAAATCATGATTACATATATGAAAAGGTTAATCATGATTAAAGTATGAAAGGTTTAATCATGATTACATGTATGAAAAGTTTAATCATGAATAAAGTATGAAATGTTTAATCATGATTACATGTATGAAAAGGTTAATCATGATTAAATAATGAAATGTTTAATGATGATTACATGTATGAAAAGTTTAATCATGGTTACACATATGAAATGTTTACTCAACATTAATGCTTTAGTGTAGGCTGTGATCTGGATAACACATTTTAACAAGACAGCCTAGTAAGTAATTGCAGTCAAGGTGATCATAATAAAAAGAAATTCAGTGGCCGATCCAGAACTTTTTATAAGGGGCCCACTGACTGCTAGAAGAGGGGGGACGCTACAGTCATGCTTCAGTGATTTCCTAAAGCCCCCCACCCTGGATTCGCCAATGAAATTAACAACCATGACACATGTAAGCTACAATTATTCACACCTCACCAAAATTAGAAACATATCTATAAATTTTGGTGCATGTTTATTGAGAGAAAAAAAGAGAGAAAACAAGTGAAGAGAAAAATGTAAATGGAACATGTTTACAATAAAAATGATCAATGTTACTGGTTAATAACATTTGTTGTAGCATGTTCTTGTCTTTGACAGGTAAAATTGATTTGTTTTTTGTGTAAGATTTCCCCTGGAACTTGACATGTGTTAATAAGAAGGTAAGAAAATAAGGAAAACAATTTACTGATAAAATAAGAAGGACTATTGGATCTAATAGGATGTATTTTACCTTATGGGGAACAAGTAAGAAGTTCTTTCAGTGCATTATAAATTAAGTTAGAAGAAAATCAAAGTCTACATTCAAAAATGTTTTGCATACAACAGAAACAAGATGTTCTGGTCAGGTGAGCTAAAAAGACAATGAAAGTCAGAAAATTCTGTCATAATCTATTCAGCCAATTCCAGGCAATACAAAAGATCAACATGAGATACACCTTTCATAGAAAACAGATAAAGTTGGACAATATGAAACAGGTCTTTTGGGAATAGTCAACTTTATTCAAAATGGACAGCAATATCCTAACTTTGTCATTTAATCATACAGAACCAATTAACTGGCCATGGCAATGTGAATCACAAATAGGTTCAGTCATTATAATCAGGCGTCATGTATCTGAATGGCTGGTTTCGTCTCTATTCATCATGGGATAAGTGAACTTGCAAGCCTCAAACTTCTCATTAATTATGCTTTATATATGGAATTTCAGTGTAATATGGCTTTGACAAAATTTTAAACATTAGGCCCATTGTATCTAAAAAAGCATTGCATTCCATTTATTTAGTACAACAGTCGTAATCAGGATAACACAATCTATTGATCTTACTATTATACAATTAACTTGCAGCATCAGGAAAGGTTTGTTAAAGAACGCAGAAAATCTGTACATTCAAGCCATTGCAAACATTCATTCAAAATTGTAAATGCACGGACAATCAAGATATAAAATATCTTTCACATGCTGAAGGAAAAATAAAAATAAATTTTTTTCACTGTATGCATGAAACACTATGAATAATGAGCTTGAAGCATGAAAACATGTGAAATTAAAATTGCAAATACATTGCACCAAAATAATTCTTAACCACGAACCCTCACAGAAGATGACACAAAACTTGTATACATGATTGTTTAATGTGAAAATAATATGGGGTGGATGCAAATAAGCTAAAAAACAATAATAGGATATTATTAATATACTAAAAGGTTTTCATTGTTGTTTTTCGTTTTGATAGATGCCTGAAATGTCCTCAACAATATTATAGCTTAACAGCTCACATCTTATTGCAAGATCCTAATGTAACTAAGAACTACGTAATCATGTAATTCATGGATAAATATGTCTTTGAATAATAGGAATAAGATAGATTTGGCAACCACCTAACAACACAAATAACCAAAAAAATATGCAAGAAAAATAAAAAAAAAAAATACATGAAGTTTTCCTGTAAGATCTAGCATTCATTGCCTACAAATGACCTCATCCCTAAATTAACAATAAACAAAAACAAATAAGAAAATCACCAGGCATTACAAAGATAGCTGAAATGCATCATAAATTTCTTCAAAGACATTAAAATTATCATATATAGTGTTGGTCAATACAATTTCCAATAACCATTGTACAAAAATCATTCCATAGATGGAAGAACTCTTATTTAATTAATAATTTGTTTAGTAGTACTTCAAATATGTCATTTGTAGAAAATCTGTGGTTATAACCAAGAGGGGAATAGATCATATGTAAATGTTATAACTATGCACAAACTGTGTTGTTCTATACTGTAGAAACTCTGTGGTTATAACAAAGAGGGGAATAGATCAAATGTAAATGTTATAACTATGCACAAACTGTGTTGTTCTATACTGTAGAAACTCTGTGGTTATAACAAAGAGGGGAATAGATCAAATGTAAATGTTATAACTATGCACAAACTGTGTTGTTCTATACTGTAGAAACTCTGTGGTTATAACTAAGAGGGGAATAGATCAAATGTAAATGTTATACCTATACACAAACTGTGTTGTTCTATACTGTGGAAACTCTATGGTTATAACCAAGAGGGGAATAGATCATATGTAAATGTTTTAACTATGCACAAACTGTGTTGTTCTATACTGTAGAAACTCTGTGGTTATAACCAAGAGGGGAATAGATCATATTTAAATGTTTTTTAACTATGCACAAACTGTGTTGTTCTATACTGTAGAAACTCTGTGGTTATAACCAAGAGGGGAATAGATCATATTTAAATGTTATAACTATGCACACACTGTGTTGTTCTATACTGTTGAAACTCTGTGGTTATAACCAAGAGGGGAATAGATCATATTTAAATGTTATAACTATGCACACACTGTGTTGTTCTATACTGTTGAAACTCTGTGGTTATAACCAAGAGGGGAATAGATCATAAGTAAATGTTATAACTATGCACAAACTGTGTTGTTCTATACTGTAGAAACTCTGTGGTTATAACAAAGAGGGGAATAGATCATATGTAAATGTTATAACTATGCATAAACTGTGTTGTTCTATACTGTGGAAACTCTGTGGTTATAACCAAGAGGGGAATAGATCATATGTAAATGTTATAACTATGCACAAACTGTGTTGTTCTATACTGTAGAAACTCTGTGGTTATAACCAAGAGGGGAATAGATCATAAGTAAATGTTTTAACTATGCACAAACTGAGTTTTCCTTTACTCTGGATTCATTTATTTTCAAGGATACCAATTTTTTGTGGAATGAGGAAAAATTGTATTTTCTAGGATATTACATTATATGGTTTTGCCAAAGGCTGCATACAAGCCTTAAGAAAATTAATACTACATAGAACATTGAAATTTGTGGTTCACCTTTATCCATAAAAATTGGTATCTAACGAATAATAATGAATCTACAGTACGTCACATTAGTAAGAAAACTGTTGTTGCTAATTGCCTATAAGAAGAGTAAGATTTTACCTTTAACAGATTTCAGTTGATTGCCAACCATCTGCTTGGCAATAAAAGCTGCCATGTTTCCTGGATTTGATGGTCAACAGTGGATATATTCTGCTTTACATATCAATATCTGAAAATAAATATAAAACATTATTTCACAGAAATATTGCTAAGAGTTAAAAACTTCAAAAGTTATTTAGGCTTTGACAATTATCACATGTGTTTCTCCATTTTGAACTAAAATGTCCCATCTTTACTGCTAGATATCCCCAATATCTTTTCAGGACAGCACAGGACATTATGTTTTCTGGTTTGAAAATCTGTCTGTCTGTCTGGTCTCTGATTAAAGTTTACCATGAAGTTGTGGTCATATAACTTGAAACTTAGTACACATGTTCATTTTGATGTGATTCTTTCAAAAACAAAAAAATAAGGTTTTGTGATATTGCAAGTGGGCATGGTGCCTTAAGGACACATATACTTTTATGTTATATTCTAAACACTGGTTTACAAAGCAATCACAACTTATTCACATATTAAAGGGAAATCACACTATTGTTTATACGCATCGCTCTCGGCGCCACTATAGTGTCGTGACCGTATTATGACGTCGCCGTTTCGAGTCCGTCGTAAAGGTTGCTAATTTCTAAAATGGCGGCCCGCTCAAAGGGACGTTCACTAAATCAAGAGGAAGCAAATGACGTTTTGATTTAAGTGCAAAAAATGAAAATGCTACTCGAAACGGACAAAATGTATGGCAAAAAAAATAGCCGAAAGTGGTCTTGATATGGTCTTGAATTACCTTACATTTGGGTTTAATTCAAATGAGTTACTCTCTTTAAATAAAGATATTATTATTATTATTATTATTATTATTATTGAGTTAGTATTTACATACAATACCATTTATACAATTATTTTTCTTAAAGGTTTATTAATTTCACCGAAAAATATTGTTAGATATGAGAAATATCAACATTTTTTGTTGATCTGGTCTTTATTATTTGTAGCGAAATCCGTCAGCTCAACTTTTTTTTGTAAAAAACCTTTTTTTATTTACTGGAAAGTTTATATTTTCTTATATTAACATATTTATTGATCTCGCAGATTTCTTAGCTTCACGAAGAAAAAAAATATTTAAAAACAAAAGAGATATTTATAACACTTTTTGTCGATCATTTCAGTATAATCAAAGCGTTCATAGGCGAATGTGAAATCCGTCCGGTCAACTTTTTTTTTAGAAAAACATTTTGTTTTACTATGAAGTTTAAATGTTCATGTAAGATAACTATTAATATCGCAGATTTCTTAGTTGTATGAAAAAATATTGTAAAACAAAAGAGATATTACTAGTAACACTTTTTGTCGATCAGTTCAATATTGTAAAGCGTACATCAGTGAGTGTGAAATCCGTCCGGTCAACTTTTTTTTGTTAAATATTCATAAAATATAGTCTAATATTTCTAAGGTCTTCAAATATTAAAATAATCTATCAAATAACAAAAAAGTTCTGACTATTTATATCTCATCCGGTCAATACGGGCAATTGTCCTGTCATTAGTGTAACCCAACTGTTGGCAGCGTATCGTCGCGATGCGGTATGTGGGAATATACTGGAAAAAATAACAATATACCAAGAGTAACAGCATGTAAGCATACAGCTTCCGGAATTTGTAGTTTTCTGTCCAACAGAGGGATGTAAATAAGAACAATCAGTTTCGATGTTCCTTTGGTGTCAAACGCCTCTCTCTCTCTCTCTCTCTCTCTCTCTCTCTCTGTTTCTTTTTTTTTCTCTCTCTCTCTCTCTCTCTCTCTCTCTCTCTCTCTCTCTCTCTCTCTCTCTCTCTCTCTCTCTCTCTCTCTGTTTCTTTTTTTTTGGGACTCTCTCTCTCTCTCTCTCTCTCTCTCTCTCTCTCTCTCTCTCTCTCTCTCTCTCTCTCTCTCTCTGTTTCTTTTTTTTTGGGAAGGGGGGTATGGGGGCACAAACACATGAACACGAGTGATTCGTAGAGTAATCATATTTGTTGAAATATCAAACGTTATATAAGAATAACGCCATTTAAACATCACTGTAAAAGAAGCATACAAAATTTTACATCGGTTGCTGTCTGTCGAAATCAAAGAAAATTTAGCACCGTATTATATAGTACATTATACTCAATCTTCCTTTAATGCTTTGTACAGGCTTACATAATTTGGGCACAAAAAAAAATCATATTTTGTAGTATTTCTTCAAACTGTCAATTATAGCGAACTGTACGACCAGCAAGTTAAAAAATAAGGCCGCTAGACGTCAGAGCAATCTGGGAATATCAAACACTATGCCTAGTTATTTTTGTACTATTGATGACCGTACTGCCTACAACAACAACAACAACAAAAAATCCACACTGTATATTTGGCTTTACAAGACTCCAACAAGAGAAATATTTAATACACACACATGTATTTATGTAGAGTAACATGTCTTTCAGAGTGCTAATCTGTAACCATCACATTTAGGTCCGTCTTGTGAAAGAGTATTCATCTCATATAGAAAAAAAATTTGTGCTGATATTCATGTAATATTTGCCACTGAAAGTTTTGCAAAAATCAAGAAAAAAACGAAAACAAAAACAAAACAAAAACTAGTAGTTCAGATGTTGGTTCGTGTTCAGATCACTCAATGTGATCACTTGCATGTCAACAAACAGTGATATAGGGAGATTGTCAGATTCCGATCATGACTGTAAAGGACAACCATTTGTTTAATACAGAGGTAGCTGATTTACTCTTGATACCTTGGTTCTTTAAAAAAAATGGCCAACATGATAAAGCAGAGTGCTGAAAGTGGCACACACAATCAATCAGTTATTTTCCAATTACCTATCATTAATCAGTTTTGGCAAAAAAAAGTATATAGGCTATACCATACTGAAACATAAATGTGATAAAAGAATATACAATTCAAGAAAGAGAGGTGCACCAACAGAAATTAGAAACTGCAATCTTTCTTTTAATTTCATCGGATCTCAGATCTCAAAATTTTAACTCTTACCAGAATTTATTCTATCTTACAGTATAACTCTGAAGTTTCTAAGTGGAACTCGAGCATTAACTAGAACTCTTACTAGAATTAACATTCGAACAAAAAATAAAACTGGAACTTTAACTCTAAATTTAGCTGGAACTCGAACTCTTATTCTACATCAAAGGTTATCCACACTCTCATTTGTCATCTGATAAAAAAATTCGTAAGGGTTCCACGGAACCCAATGTCTCGCCTACTTTTGCTGTTAATCGCAGGCTCAACAAAAATGAGAAATAAAATCAATAAAAATATTCCTCTCGATACTATCTTTTGATTGTAAGAAGCTTCTGTCCAAGTTTGGTATAAATCTAGGATAGTTTATGGATCTAATAAATGTTTTAAAAACTTTAACTGCATACTGCATGTAATGTTGACTGGAAGAAAAAGTAAGTCCATTTATAAGTAAAATACGGATAAACAGGTACAAAATTTTGACAAAATTTCCTTCGAGATACAAGCTTTTGATCATAAGCAAGCTTCTGTCCAAGTTTGGTACATATCCAGGATAGTTTAAGAAAGTTATTGAAATCTTAAAAACTTTAACCACAGAGTGAATGTATTGTTTCCTAGCAGAAAAACTAAGTTAATTTATAAGTAAAATACGGAAAAAATAGATTTTATTTTTACAAAATTTATTTCTGGATACTATCTTGTGATTATAAACAAGCTTCTGTCCAAGTTTGGCAGAAATCCAGGATAGTTTAAGAAATTTATTAAAACTTCAAAAACTTTAACCACAGAGTGAATATTTGTGGACGCCGCCGCCGCCGACGACGACGCCGACGACGGAATGTAGGATCGCTGTCTCGCTTTTTCGACTAAAGTCGAAGGCTCGACAAAAAAATAGAGTTAGATAAAATATATCGACATGTCCACAGAAACACGGATAGATGTAGCAGAACAAGAAAAAAAACTAGATCCGTTTATTACAAATTAAAAGATTTTTTTAAATACATCAACTGGGAACATTATATGTTCCTGATATCAATATGGCGATGTGTATTTTATTGTCAATTAACTCTAAATTATCAGATGCATTGTATTTCTCATAACATACCAACGTTGAGCGATTAATCGAACGGTAATAGAATATACGTAATACATGTACATAAAGTTTTAATACACAGGCGATGAACATTGAACATATTATGTACAATGAACATGAAACGATGTATGAAAAAATGGGTGCGGGATGATAGAACTCAGAAAAAAAATTGGTTTCCACAGTTCGAATAAATTATGAAGCGTTGTGTAATTACGGAACCAATTTTAAATTCCTACGGAAAATAGGTTTCTTTTAAAGTGCTGAGTTTGTGGCATTTTTAACACGGCATTTCAGGTTTTATCTTCCCGGTGCGAATGGACAAGCTAGTGAAATTATGGTAACGAAATTATTCTGCCTGCAGTCTAAAAGGAACGTGTTACTTTTCAGCCCGGATACCCTCAGTCTTCCGAGGTAGAAGATTCTTTATCTGGAAGCCGAAAATTATTTCTATAATACGGCATGAGGCAAACATTCGTTTTCCCCATACAACAAATGCAATTAAAAAAATGAGATGACTTCAACTTTGACAATTACTTTATAATAAACTGTTATTGTATCTATGTTTAACGATTCGATAGATTGATAAAGATATCAATGAATAATCAAAATACCTTAAAAAATGTTCAAAAATGATATTATATTTTGTAGTGAAAAGGTTTAATTCAACCCAAGAGTTGCAAGAAATGCTGTTATGCCAGCAACGTCGTTCTATAACGTTAAAAGGTTATAGTTCCCGCCAAAATTCAATAATAAAGATTATTTCCGTTTTAGCGGATTTAAAACATCGGTGACCCCCCTTTTTTATTTATGCTTTTAAAATCTTCCCTGAAGCTGCAACTTTTGCAGAAGTTTGAAGGGAAAAACATTAGTAGATTTTTTTTATTTCAAGAAAAATCTATTATAAGTAGCAATTAAAAATGGCGGGAAATGTTCAAATGTCTTCAAAAATAAGGACACCGAGACAAATAAATGTTCATAAGGTACAAGTTACATTTGACTGTTTTTGTTATTCCAG